TATATTGTCAAGTGCGAAGAGTGCTTCAAAATATGGACTTTTGTGCCGAGCTAGAGATATTTCTTTGTGTCGAGCACAGAAATGATTGCCTGAACCACATAATATAGATTAAATAAGGTACATATATTAGCTACGGTATTATTATCCCCGGGCGAGGGTGTAGACCTGTGGTATTATAACCCCTGGGTAAGGGTGAAGACCTGCGGTATTATATCCTCTGGGCATGGGTGTAGGCCTTTGCTGATGGCGCTTCGTGCCAAGTGCGAAGATTACACTGGACTTAGAGACTTTTATTGATTTTAAGTGGCGATCAGGTGCCAATATTGTAAGAATTTTAAATAATACATCCTGTGTCAGTGATGGCCTGTAGCGAATGAGGTAGACGTGTTAATCACAAATAATATTGTTCTGCTTGTAAGGAATTGGTAAGTTGATATCTTTCGAACTATTTAATTGCCGAGTAAATTTTGGGTCAATTAGTATTGTTGTGCCAACTAGCATTGCTCGGTTTACGTTTAGTCCAATGTAGACTTGCCCCATTGCTTTTGAATGACATGTGTTAGTCAGAAGGAATGCAGATTGGACGTGCCCCATTGCCTTATGTTGTAGGGCAAATTCAGTTTTGGTAAAATGACGATGAGCAAAAATATGTGAACTGCCAACCGCCAAGTGTGTAATGTATTGTCCCAAAACTGGCTTTTGCTTAGGGCTGTGTGAAAAGGAGTGGGAGTTTGTAACTCAAGTAAATGTCGTTGTCATGTTTGGACAAAGTTGGTCGAGTATGCATACATAGCAGAGGTGTCAAGATGATGATCGGCTGATACGTCCCAATTGAAAAGCGAAAAATTGATTGTGGGCAATAAATGGCCAAGGTAACTAAATGAATGATCGAAGAAGACAGAATATTATTTCTTTGTCCCAAGATCCTGCAGCTGAAATTGCATGATGATGGAATATGATTTGACTGTTGATTTTGCATTTAATGTTCTCGATTGGTTGAGGTATTGAGCTTAATATATGACTCAGAATTTGTAGAATTAGACCGTACAGATGTGTTCAGAAGGGTTCAAATAGTTGGAAATGACTATGGGATCGCTATAATCAGACTCCTGATGGCGTAGTTGTAACTTGTAACCAAAAATAGAACTGATGGCTCAGATCAATGGAGACTAGTGCTCCGTGAAGCACTGGATAATTGCTCCTATATTGCTGAGTTAGACGGCTTGGCTTGGCATGGCATGACATCCTTGTGTATATATTTTGCACATTATATATTTGAACTTGATTGTGCTGCTATGACAGGAAGTAACTTAGCCTCAATGCATGGAATAATTTCCTAGGTTGGCCAACTGAAGTTGTCTTCTCCAGCAAAATGGTGACATCGTTGGCCAAACTTCGACGAGCTCGTACGACTTCGTTTTAGCTATGATTTTGACGCGGTTTGTGGCATTAGACTCGTCTTGATAAGGACTTCACATTGGGATAGTCAAAGCTTGAGTTCGATAATGCTAAAAAATGTCGATTTCTAGACATTTAGTCAGTTTCGCAACTATCGGTGGCCTACAGTTAGTTCGTGGCTTTACTAGTCGGTGTTTATAGACTCTGCTAGTCGACGTGAACCAACTGGTAGACCATGAAATTCTTGCTCGCATGAAGAAAAATGTAGACCCACTTGCTAGAGAGAGAAAATGGGTATGTAAACGTAGTCGGTGACACTTTGGCTAGCCGAAGCACTTGGTTCTCGGCATTGTAGTTCAGAAGGGTGTCAGATATGGTTTGAGATACGAATTAATAAATGGGGGCGGAGGTCGTGATTGAATGGCCGGTTAGTATGGAATGGTTGCCGAGTAGTGCGAAGGTCCATGCATGGACATGCCGAATAAACTCTTCAAGCTACGCCGCCACGACTAGGTTGTAGAGATGCCGAGTTATGATGTACCGATGGGTAGCTTGGGTGAGTTGTACTGGTGCCGAGAAAGGTGGAAAAGATGCCAGGTAGCCTTGTACAAGGTACAGCATTGTTGAGCAACTTTGTAGTGTTGTAGCTTTGCCGAGTACTCTTCTAGGAATTGTGGTACTGCCGAGTAATGTTGATGAAAAATGATGAATTAATCATGGTGCTAATAATGATGCAAAATAATGTAGCCGAATAAAGTGGATGCACTACCGAATAATGTTGATGAATTAAATAATGGCCCAAATGGTGCAAAGCCGAATTCTTCATGCAACAGGTCATGAAATGCAGAATTTTAGATTCAAACTCCTAACTTTGAGCCCTTGTATCTCCCTCATTTTAAGTCCGATTGGCCTCATTTTTGCAGTGTTGGATTCATCACTCGGCCTAGTGTTCATTCCACTATTCAGACATGTCATTCCGCCTTGAATTGGATGCTGTTGGACCTTTGAAAGTTGACCAAAAATAAGATTGGCCTACTTTTTTTTTGGTGTGTTCAGTTGTTCAATGTTGCGGAGTAATAGCGGTGAGCATGGTTGCGCAATGTAAGTAACTTGGAAAACTCGTTGTAATTATCACTTGTCAAACGGGTGTTGTGGTTGTGAGAACGGCAGTATTGCAGTTGTCAGTGTGGCTTGTGGGCTACTAGGCGATTCAAGGCGTTGGATTCCGACTGTTGAAATAGTTTGCCAAATGAGAAATACTTCGGTTGTGTAGAAATTTGGTGCTCCATTCTACTCGGTGTGGTTTAGCATTAGTGAGCTTTAGCTTTCCTCGCTGAGCTTGGTCAATGTGGCCAATGCCTTTGCTAGACAATGGGTCTTCTTGCGGGATGACGACATCGCCGAGTGACATGCTTGCTGAAGAACCTTGTTGTTAATTAGAGAGAATGTTCGATTTTACGTGCTCGGCGAGTTTATTGACACTGAACAAGCCTCTTTCTTTGCCGTGATTGTTTCACAATTCCGTTTGGTGAGTTCGGCCCATATGGATAATATTATGTTCACAGAACTTGATTTCAAGGATGGAATGTGATACGAATTTGGGTTTGGAGTACATTTGGCATCTTATAATTCCGGTGGTGGTCTGAAGTAGTGAAGCAGTAAATGAGCCACTCAGCTTCTTGGTTGGTAGCATTTTTTTTATTTTTTTTTTATTTTTAGTATCTTGCCAAGAACAATTCTAGAGAGAGACTCAAGACCCAATTGTAGCGCTACTAACTTTATCTTGTTTTGACAACCTTTCTAAGCAATATTAATATTCAACAAGGGTTTGATCAAATCTATGAGCATAAATAGATACATATATAGACATGTATATATATGTGGGAGCCGAATAATTGGAATAACCAGAAGCATACTCTAGAAGACATATATTACACGGCTCTACTCTGCATGATAAGGATGCTGAGTATAATAGATGGGCCGAATAGATACTAAACCATGGAGCCGAGTAAATAAGAGGACGAAGAACAATAAGTGGGCCTGGCCATGAGGCCCAGGAAACAAGAATAAATAAAGGAACAACAGACTAAGAAAGGTATGTTAGAATTGTAGTGATTAACTTAGAATATAAGTATTCCTGAGTGTGGTTACTAACTTGTCCGTCGGAGTGCTAATTCCGGCACCCCCACCGGAGTGTATATTCCTTTTCAGGTGACCGAAAGAGGATCACGAGCGTTCCCCAGGATTAGAAGAGTATTTCCAAACCACTTCTCTACAATTGGCGCCGTTTGTGGGAATACTCAAGCACATCCATGGCGAGCGTGACGGAAGATCCTCCGACAGTCACTGTCGACCCTATACCGCAAGAGAAAACCACTCCAACAAACTTGCTTGGAACAGAGACTATTGCCGCAAGTCGTGCCTTGAATTTTGCCTCACCCTTAACTTCGGAGCACGAGACAATGCAGGCGATCATGGAATAAGAAAAGCAAAATGAACAGAGGTTAGAAAACATGATCGCTGAGAACGAACATCTTCGTGAAGATTTGGCCTCGGAAATGGCGAAGTCCAAGCAAGCTGCACGCCCAAATCCAGAACGACCTTTGAAGGCAGGTGGTCGACAACCTCGAGCACGACAAGACACTGATAGCAACTCCGACTCATTATCCCCAAAGCTTAGGAAGAAGGGACGACACGAAACCACCAGTTCTTCCGAAGAAAGTCCCCGTGCAATGCATAAGTGAAGAAGGAACAGTTCGGACGAAGACCAACACGATCCCTTCGTACAACAGATTGCAAAGGCTGCGCTACCCAAGAAATTCAAAGCACCGTCGTTCACCTTGTACGGTGGCAAATCAGACCGCACCGACCACATCCGCCACTACAGGCAGGCCATGACATTACATGCAGACGACGAGGCCCTCATGTGCCGAATATTTCCCAGCAGTTTGGGACCATTGGCGGTTAGGTGGTATTATAAACTGGAGCCGGCTTCGATCAAAACCTTCCACCAACTACAAAAATCCTTCAGGGCCAGATTTATCACCAATGAAGTCCAGCCGAAGCAAGCTGACTCTCTCTAGGCAATGCAAATCCTGCCAGGAGAAACACTAAGAGCATATTCGGCGCGATATTGGGAATGCTTTAATCTTGCTGACGATGCTTGTAACGACTCCATGGCCATCACCGCCTTCAAAATGGGATTACACCCAGATAGTGCCCTCCGCAGTTCCTTGACTAGAAGACCCCCCAAAATAGTCAGGGGGTTGATAAAGAAAGTAAAGGAATACTGCAAAGTGGAAGATGACGCCTTGCGGGTTAAAGCTGGACGCGTGGCTAACAAAATGGCCCCTCCCGAAATTGCTCAGCCAATAAGTTCCGCACCACCTCAAAGCCCTGAACCACAACAGCGGGCTAAACGAGATAGGAGATGGGAATCTCGCTGATCCAACGATCAATGCTCGCACCAGGCAAATGAGCAACTGCAGGTCAATAGCAGGCGCACAAAGCACGCCGACAAGAAATATATGGAGTTGTTAGAACCAATCAGCTCGATTATGACCAAAATCCAACATCTTCCGTTTTTCAAATGGCTGTCCAAGATGGTGGGACCTCCTGACACGAGAAGGTGGGACAGGCGTTGTGAATATCACAAAGATCATCGTCATGATACAGACAATTGCTATGCCTTGAAAGACCACCTCGAGGAATTGATGCAAGATGGTCGGCTCCAGCAACACGTCCGGAAGAGCACAATCAAAACTGTTGCCCTTCGGCAGGAGTCACCTTCCCTCGGCGTTATACATATGATATACAGCCTTCCAATGCCATGTACCATACACTCAATTCATTCAGCCCCCCAGAAGCAATGCACACAAGCGAAACAGCCCCACGAAGCTCCGAGTATCATCTTCAACGATTCTGATCTTATCGACATAATGCTCCCCCATATTGATCCATTGGTCATTGAACTATCCGTGAATCAATTTACCGTCGAATACGTCCTCATAGACCAGGGAAGCACTTCGGAGGTCATGTACTACGAGACCTTCCTCATACTCAGCTTCAATGAATCAGACCTTTCTCTGGCTCCTCATCCATTATTCGGCTTCAACGCAAATCCAGAGTACCCGTTAGGAAAAATCACGTTACCCGTTCGGGCGAGCTCTCAAACGGTGGATGTGGAATTCATGGTCGGCAAGCTCCCTTCGCCGTATAACCTCATCATGGGGCGAACTTGGCTGCATACTATTCGGGCCGCACCAAGCACCTATCGTCAGCTGCTACGCTTCCCGACCGAACATGGTGTTGAGCAAATCCGTGGTTCCCGGCAATCCGCACAAGCATGCTATCTCTTTTCTGGAAAGACACTAACGGAGATGCAGCTCAACTCCACTGAAGTGTCAAATCGAGACAGTCTCGTTGATGTCGGACGGCTCCCTGACGACAAGCCACGGAAGCTCTAGGCGATACCAGCAACAGCTTCCCAAGATGTATGCTCGCGTCTAGCTGCGCTGCTACACGCTGGAAAGGTTGCTCCTGAAGGTATTTCCAGATGATAGGGGGCCAGTTGATGAAAAGTTAGGTCCGCGGCCTTGCTCCTAACGCATTTGCGCAAATTCTATCATTAAACCCGACTTGTGGGGAATGATATTGGTTCTGAATGGCTCACCACGTACACTTTCCACTTTTGTAAGTAATGCAAAGATTCCTGTTTACTCACCGTGAAATCCAGCTCAAAAGTATTCCAAATAAAGCCTCCAGATTCGAAGCGCCCTTCGTGGATATCACAATTGGCCGATTAAAGTCGCCGGATTCGGAGCGCCCTTCGTGGATATCACGATTGGCCGAAAAAGCCTCCGGATTTGGAGCACCCTTCGTGGATGTCATGATTGGACCAATAAAGTCTCTGGATTCAGAGCGCCCTTCGTGGATATCACGATTGACCGACAAAGCCTCTGAATTCAGAGCTCCCTTGGTGGATATCACGATTGGCCGATTAAAGTCTTTGGATTCGGAGCCGTAATGGTGCATGACGTCTTTGGGCCGACAAAGCCTCTGGATTTGGAGCGCCAGTCGTGGATGTCACAATTGGCCCAATAAAGTCTTCGGATTCAGAGTGCCCTTCGTGGATATCACGATTGGCCCAATAAAGTCTCCAGATTCGGAGCCCCATCGGCGCATGACGTCTTTGGGCCGACAAAGCCTTCGGATACAGAGTGCCCTTCCGGGATGTCACGATTGGCCCAAAAAAGTCTCCGGATTCGGAGCTCCCTTCGTGGATATCACGATTGGTTGACAAAGCCTCCAGATTTGGAGTGCCCTTCGTGGATATCACGATTGGCCGATTAAAGTCTCCGGATTCGAAGCCCCATCGGTGCATGTTGTCTTTGGGCCAACAAAGCCTCCGAATTCGGAGCGCCCTTTGTGGTTGTCACGATTGGCCCAATAAAGTCTCCGGATTCAGAGCGCCCTTCGTGGATATCACGATTGGCCGACAAAGCCTCCAAATTCGGAGCGCCCTTCGTGGATGCCACGATTGGCCCAATAAAGTCTCCGGATTTGGAGCGCCCTTCGTGGATATCATGATTGGCCGACAAAGCCTCCAGATTTGGAGCGCCCTTTGTGGATATCATGATTGGCCGATTAAAGTCTCCAGATTCGGAGCCCCATTCGCGCATGACGGCTTTGGGCCGACAAAGCCTCCTGATTCGGAGCGCCCTTCGTGGATGTCACGATTGGCCCAATAAAGTTTCCAAATTCGGAGCGCCCTTCGTGGATATCATGATTGGCCAACAAAGTCTCCGGATTCGGAGCGCCCTTCGTGGATATGACGATTGGCCAATTAAAGTCTCCGAATTCGGAGCCCCTTCGGCGCATGACGTCTTTGGGCCGACAAAGCATCTGGATTCAGAGCGCCCTTCGTGGAAGTCACGATTTGCCCAATGAAGTCTCCGGATTCGGAGCGCCCTTCGTGGATATCACGATTGGCCGAGAAACCCTTCGAATTTGGAGCGCCCTTCGTGGATATCACGATTGGCCAATTAAAGTCTCCGGAGTCGGAGCCCAATCAACGAATGACGTCTTTGGGCCGACAAAGTCTCTGGATTCAGAGCACCCTTAGTGGATGTCACGATTGGCCCAATAAAGTCTCTGGATTCGGAGCGCCCTTCGTGAATATCATGATTGGCCGACAAAGCCTCCGGATTCAGAGCGCCCTTCGTGGATATCATGATTGGCTGACAAAGCCTCCGGATTCGGAGCGCCCTTCGTGGATATCAGATTGTCCGATTAAATTCTCTGGATTCGGAGCCCCATCGGTGCATGATGTTTTTGGGCCGACAAAGCCTCTGGATTCGGAGCGCCCTTCGTGGACGTCACTATTGGCCCAATAAAGTCTCTAGATTTGGAGCGCCCTTCGTGGATATCACGATTGGCCGACAAAGTCTCCAGATTCGGAGCGCCCTTCGTGGATATCACGATTGGCCGATTAAGTCTCCAGATTCGGGCGATTCAAGGCATTGGATTCCGACTGTTGAAACAGTTTTCCAAATGAGAAATACTTCGGTTGTGTAGAAATTTGGTGCTCCATTCTACTCGGTGTGGTTTAGCATTAGTGAGCTTTAGCTTTCCTCGCTGAGCTTGGTCAATGTGGCCAATGCCTTTGCTAGACAATGGGTCTTCTTGCGGGATGACGACATCGCCGAGTGACATGCTTGCTGAAGAACCTTGTTGTTAATTAGAGAGAATGTTCGATTTTACGTGCTCGGCGAGTTTATTGACACTGAACAAGCCTCTTTCTTTGCCGTGATTGTTTCACAATTCCGTTTGGTGAGTTCGGCCCATATGGATAATATTATGTTCACAGAACTTGATTTCAAGGATGGAATGTGATACGAATTTGGGTTTGGAGTACATTTGGCATCTTATAATTCCGGTGGTGGTCTGAAGTAGTGAAGCAGTAAATGAGCCACTCAGCTTCTTGGTTGGTAGCATTTTTTTTTTATTTTTTTTATTTTTAGTATCTTGCCAAGAACAATTGTAGAGAGAGACTCAAGACCCAATTGTAGAGCTACTAACTTCATTTTGTTTTGACAACCTTTCTAAGCAATATTAATATTCAACAAGGGTTTGATCAAATCTATGAGCATAAATAGATACATACATAGACGTGTATATATATGTGGGAGTCGAATAATTGGAATAACCAGAAGCATACTCTAGAAGATATATATTACACGGCTCTACTCTGCACGATAAGGATGCTGAGTATAATAGATGGGCCGAATAGATACTAAACCATGGAGCCGAGTAAATAAGAGGACGAAGAGCAATAAGTGGGCCTGGCCATGAGGCCCAGGAAACAAGAATAAATAAAGGAACAACAGACTAAGAAAGGTATGTGAGAATTGTAGTGCTTAACTTAGAATATAAGTATTCCTGAGTGTGGTTACTAACTTGTCCATCGGAGTGCTAATTCCGGCACCCCCACCGGAGTGTATATTCCTTTTCAGGTGACCGAAAGAGGATCACGAGCGTCCCCCAGGATTAGAAGAGTATTTCCAAACCACTTCTCTACAATTGGCGCCGTTTGTGGGAATACTCAAGCACATCCATGGCGAGCGTGACGGAAGATCCTCCGACAGTCACTGTCGACCCCATACTGCAAGATGAAACCACTCCAACAAACTTGCTTGGAACAGAGACTATCGCCGCAAGACGTGCCTTGAATTTCGCCTCACCCTCAACTTCGGAGCACGAGACAATGCAGGTGATCATGGAACAAGCAAAGCAAAATGAACAGAGGTTAGAAAACATGATCGCTGAGAACGAACGTCTTCATGAAGATTTGGCCTCGGAAATGGCGAAGTCCAAGCAAGCTGCACGCCCAAATCCAGAACGACCTTTGAAGGCAGGTGGTCGACAACCTCGAGAACGACAAGACACTGATAGCAACCCCGACTCATTATCCCCAAAGCCTAGGAAGAAGGGACGACATGAAACCACCAGTTCTTCCGAAGAAAGTCCCCGTGCAATGCACAAGTGAAGAAGGAACAGTTCGGACGAAGACCAACACGATCCCTTCGTACAACAGATTGCAAAGGCTGCGCTACCCGAGAAATTCAAAGCACCGTCGTTCACCTTGTACGATGGAAAATCAGACCCCACCGACCACATCTGCCACTACAGACAGGCCATGACATTACATGCAGACGACGAGGCCCTCATGTGCCGAATATTTCCCAGCAGTTTGGGACCATTGGCGGTTAGGTGGTATTATAAACTGGAGCCGGCTTCGATAAAAACCTTCCACCAACTACAAAAATCCTTCAGGGCCAGATTTATCACCAATGAAGTCTAGCCGAAGCAAACTGACTTTCTCTGGGCAATGCAAATCCTGCCAGGAGAAACACTAAGAGCATATTCGGCGCGATATTGGGAATGCTTTAATCTTGCTAACGATGCTTGTACGACTCCATGGCCATCACCGCTTCAAAATGGGATTACACCCAGATAGTGCCCTCCGCAGTTCCTTGACTAGAAGACCCCCCAAAACAGTCAGGGGGTTGATGAAGAAAGTAAAGGAATACTGCAAAGTGGAAGATGACGCCTTGCGGGTTAAAGCTGGACACGTGGCCAACAAAATGGCCCCTCCCGAAATTGGTCAGCCAATAAGTTCCGCACCACCTCAAAGCCCTGAACCACAACAGCGGGCCAAACGAGATAGGAGATGGGAATCTCGCTGATCCAGCGATCAATGCTCGCACCAGGCAAATGAGCAACTACAGGTCAATAGCAGGGGCACAAAGCGCGCCGACAAGAAATATACGGAGTTGTTAGAGCCAATCAGCTCGATTATGACCAAAATCCAACATCTTCCGTTCTTCAAATGGCTGTCCAAGATGGTGGGACCTCCTGACACGAGAAGGTGGGACAGGCGTTGTGAATATCACAAAGATCATGGTCATGATACAGACAGTTGCTATGCCTTGAAAGACGACCTCGAGGAATTGATGCAAGATGGTCGGCTCCAGCAACACGTCCGAAAGAGCACAATCAAAACTGTTGCCCTTCAGCAGGAGTCACCTCCCCTCGGCATTATACATATGATATACAGCCTTCCAACGCCATGTACCATACACTCAATTCATTCAACCCCCCAGAAGCAATGCACACAAGCGAAACAGCCCCACGAAGCTCCGAGTATCATCTTCGACGATTCTGATCTTATCGACATAATGCTCCCCCATATTGATCCATTGGTCATTGAACTATCTGTGAATCAATTTACTGTCGAATACGTCCTCATAGATCAGGGAAGCACTTCGGAGGTCATGTACTACGAGACCTTCCTCAAACTCGGCTTCAATGAATCAGACTTGTCTCTGGCTCCTCATCCATTATTCGGCTTCAACGCAAATCCAGAGTACCCGTTAGGAAAAATCACGTTACCCGTTCGGGCGGGCTCCCAAACGGTGGATGTGGAATTTATGGTCGGCAAGCTCCCTTCGCCGTATAACCTCATCATGGGGCGAACTTGGCTGCATACTATTCAGGCTGTGCCAAGCACCTATCGTCAGCTGCTACGCTTCCTGACCGAACATGGTGTTGAGCAAATCCGTGGTTCCCGGCAATCCGCACAAGCATGCTATCTCTTTTCTGGAAAGACACCAACGGAGACACAACTCAACTCCACTGAAGTGTCGAATCGAGACAGTCTCGTTGATGTCGGACGGCTCCCTGACGACAAGCCACGGAAGCTCTAGGCGATACTAGCAACAGCTTCCCAAGATGTATGCTCGCGTCTAGCTGCGCTGCTACACGCCAAAAAGGTTGCTCCTGAAGGTATTTCCAGATAATAGGGGGCCAGTTGATGAAAAGTTAGGCCCGCGGCCTTGCTCCTAACGCATTTGCGCAAATTCTATCATTAAACCCGACTTGTGGGGAATGATATTGGTTCTAAATGGCTCACCATGTACCCTTTCCACTTTTGTAAGTAATGCAAAGATTCCTGTTTACTCACCCTGAAATCCAGCTCAAAAGTATTCCAAATAAAGCCCCCAGATTCAGAGCGCCCTTCGTGGATATCACGATTGGCTGATTAAAGTCGCCGGATTCGGAGCGCCCTTCGTGGATATCACGATTGGTTGAAAAAGCCTCCAGATGCGGAGCACCCATCGTGGATGTCATGATTGGCCCAATAAAGTCTCTAGATTCGGAGCGCCCTTTGGGGATATCACGATTGGCCGACAAAGCCTCCGAATTCAGAGCGCCCTTGGTGGATATCACGATTGGCCGATTAAAGTCTCTGGATTCGGAGCCCCAATGGTGCATGACGTCTTTGGGCCGACAAAGCCTCTGGATTTGGAGCGCCAGTCGTGGATGTCACAATTGGCCCAATAAAGTCTTCGGATTCAGAGTGCCCTTCGTGGATATCACGATTGGCCGACAAAGTCTCCAGATTCGGAGCGCCCTTCATGGATATGACGATTGGCCGATTAAAGTCTCCAGATTCGGAGCCCCATCGGCGCATGACGTCTTTGGGCCGACAAAGCCTTTGGATACGGAGTGCCCTTCGTGGATGTCACGATTGGCCCAAAAAAGTCTCCGGATTTGGAGCTCCCTTTATGGATATCACAATTGGCTGACAAAGCCTCCAGATTTGGAGTGCCCTTTGTGGATATCACGATTGGCCGATTAAAGTCTTCGGATTCGAAGCCCCATCGGTGCATGCTGTCTTTGGGCCGACAAAGCCTCCGGATTCGGAGCGCCCTTCGTGGATGTCACGATTGGCCCAATAAAGTCTCCGGATTCGGAGCGCCCTTCGTGGATATCACGATTGGCCGACAAAGCCTCCGAATTCGAAGCGCCCTTCGTGGATGTCACGATTGGCCCAATAAAGTCTCCAGATTTGGAGCACCCTTCGTGGATATCATGATTGGCCGACAAAGCCTCCAGATTTGGAGCGCCCTTTGTGGATATCACGATTGGCCGATTAAAGTCTCCAGATTCGGAGCCCCATTCGCGCATGACGGCTTTGGGCCGACAAAGCCTCCTGATTCGGAGCGCCCTTCGTGGATGTCACGATTGGCCCAATAAAGTTTCCAAATTCGGAGCGCCCTTCGTGGATATCATGATTGGCCAACAAAGTCTCCGGATTCGGAGCGCCCTTCGTGGATATGACGATTGGCCAATTAAAGTCTCCGAATTCGGAGCCCCTTCGGCGCATGACGTCTTTGGGCCGACAAAGCATCTGGATTCAGAGCGCCCTTCGTGGAAGTCACGATTTGCCCAATGAAGTCTCCGGATTCGGAGCGCCCTTCGTGGATATCACGATTGGCCAATTAAAGTCTCTGGATTCGGAGCCCAATCAACGAATGACGTCTTTGGGCCGACAAAGCCTTTGGATTTGGAGCACCCTTAGTGGATGTCACGATTGGCCCAATAAAGTCTTCGGATTCGGAGCACCCTTCGTGAATCTCACGATTGGCCGACAAAGCCTTCGGATTCGGAGCGCCCTTCGTGGATATCATGATTGGCTGACAAAGCCTCCGGATTCGGAGCGCCCTTCGTGGATATCAGATTGTCCGATTAAAGTCTCTGGATTCGGAGCCCCATCGGCGCATGATGTTTTTGGGTCGACAAAGCCTCTGGATTCGGAGCGCCCTTTATGGACGTCACTATTGGCCCAATAAAGTCTCCGGATTTGGAGCGCCCTTCGTGGATATCACGATTGGCCGACAAAGTCTCCAGATTCGGAGCGCCCTTCGTGGATATCACGATTGGCCGATTAAAGTCTTTGGATTCGGAGCCTCATCGGCGCATGACGTCTTTGGGCCGACAAAGCCTCCGGATACGTAGCGCCCTTTGTGGATGTCACGATTGGCCCAATAATGTCTCCAGATTCGGAACGCCCTTCGTGGATATCACGATTGGCCGATAAAGCGTCCGGATTCGGAGCGCCCTTTGTGGATGTCACGATTGGTCCAATAAAGTCTCCGGATTCAGAGCGGCCTTCGTGGATGTCACCATTGGCCGACAAAGCCTCTGGATTCGGAGCGCCCTTTGTGGAGATCATGATTGGCCGATTAAAGTCTCCGGATTCGGAGCCCCATCGGCACATGACGCCTTTGGGCCAACAAAGCCTCCGGATTCAGAGCGCCCTTCGTAGATGTCACGATTGGCCGAATAAAGTCTCTGGATTCGGAGCGCCCTTCGTGGATATCACGATTGGCCGACAAAGCCTCCGGATTCAGAGCGCCCTTTGTGGATGTCACGATTGGCCCAATAAAGTCTTCGGATTCGGGGCGCCCTTCGTGGATATCACGATTGGCCAACAAAGCTTCCGGATTCGAAGCTCCCTTCGTGGATACCACAATTGGCCGATTAAAGTCTCCAGATTCGGAGCCCCATCAGCGCATGACATCTTTGGGCGGACAAAGCCTCCGGATTCAGACCGCCCTTCATGGATGTCACAATTGGCCCAATAAAGTTTCCGGATTCGGAGTGCCCTTCGTGGATATCACGATTGGCCAACAAATTCTCTGGATTCAGAGCGCCCTTCGTGGATATCATGATTGGCCTACTAAAGTTTCCAAATTCGGAGTCCCTTCGACGCATGACGTCTTTGGACCGACAAAGCCTCTGGATTCGGAGCGCCCTTCGTGGAAGTCATGATTTGCCCAATGAAGTCTCCGGATTCGGAGCACCCTTCATGGATATCATGATTGGCCGACAAAGCCTCCGGATTCAAAGCGCTCTTCGTGGATATCACGATTGGCCGATTAAAGTCTCCAGATTTGGAGCCTAATCGGCGCATGGCGTTTTTGAGCCGACAAAGCCTCCGGATTCGGAGTGCCCATCGTGGATGTCACGATTGGCCCAATCAAGTCTTCGGATTCGGAGCGCCCTTCGTGGATATCACGATTGGCCGACATAGCCTCCAGATTCGGAGCGCCCTTCGTTGATATCACGAGGCCGATTAAAGTCTTCAGATTCAGAGCCCCATCGGCACATGACGTCTTTGGGCCGATAAAGCCTCCAAATTCGATTGACCAGTGTCATCGAGCGGCGCTCAAGGGCCGAGTAATATTTCGAATTCAGAGCGCCCTCCAGAATGAAAACATTTACACATCAGAGCAGGGATATGTAGGTTGATCCACTACAACCGCGTGAACAAGACAAAACGTTCCAGCATTCAAAATAAGATGCTTAATTAAGCATACAAAAATTCAAAATGAGATAAACTTCTAGAATGAAACATTTTATTCGATTAAACAGTAATTACAAAAAACGTAATCCGTATTCGAAGCATTACAATAGCTATTCTCATACGGCATCGCGTTGGGACGAGCGGCAGCGCCGAATGAATGCCTGCTGATCGGAGAGCACACGCAACTTGAAATGCTTTGATTTGGCCGTGCTAGAATCCACGATTCACACCGACGAGATAATCACCCTTGAGGTTGGGACCTTTGACACCATAGACAACGTCAAGGCCAAGATCCAAGACAAGGAAGGAATTCCTCATGAAAACAATAATACCAACGGTCGTGGCGCTACATCCGCCTCATTTCTCGATCGCGATTGCTGAGATCTTTGCCATTGCTGTTTGTCCCTTCAAGGTGATCTACTTTGACGACTTAGAGGCTAACGTTTTTCCCATCTTTTGAACGCCCTACCTCCTGCACGAATGGGTTCTCAGTTGCAATTCATTACAATGTCAAGCTCAGCCAGAGTCCGAGCTTCTCCTCTGCTCGTGAAGAAAAACTCCATTCGACATTCACACTTATCTAACCCCATGTAACAAGATCGTTTTAAATCGAGTCCATGCACAGTAAGCGAAGTCTCTAGAGCGAAAAATTTGAGGCGATTTATTTCGAAAAACCTTGCGGTGGCCTCAAGGTGATTTCATTAACATTGAACTCCAAAAGACGGACGCCAAGCGATATTGGCCACAGCCACACCATACGCTGACTGTCTCCAGATTTGGAGCCCTTGGCGCATGACGCCTTTGGGCCGGTTGAGCCTTTGAATTTGGAGCCTCATCGGTGCGATTGACCGCGCGTAACACATGCAAAATATATATTTAATTTACAGTGCTCATGACAAGACAACATATAACTGTTCAGAATTAAAATGACTAGCTGACTCTGGCCAGTCAATGTTTATAAATGAAACACATGCAAACATGTGTGTGCTGAATGAAAATTACAATGAAACTTCTAAAATAGGACATTTTATTCAATTAGGCAATAATTACATAGTTATGAACGTGATCCGCGTTCGCACGTTACATTGACTGTTTTTACAGAACGTCTCCCTCATCTTCACTCTGCTCGACTTCAAAGGTGGCAAACAAAATATGGTTATGTTGGTCAAGTGGCAATGCCGAGTCGACGCGCATTGCTCGTAGAGCTTTTTCGACCTGAAGCGCCTTGATCTAACTGTGCTTAAATCCACGATTTTCGCATCGACAAACTTCCTCAGTGAGTTTTTCCTTGGTCTTCTGTATCCCGACTTTCCGGCCATTATGGAAGCCTTTTTCATAGGTCCTTCCCTTCCCTTCACGGATTCCATCGCGAACATGCTCCTTGTATCTCGATCGGTGAGCGCGGTACTGATAAGCCGTTGGGTGACCCTTTCTTCCACGATTGGGTTAGCCTGTCCGACGAGTTGTCCGTGAATGACCTTGACCTTCCTTAGCTCACGTTCAGCCTCTTCCGCGGGAGCCTCCAAGTTTCTAATGCGTTCATCCCTCTTCTCTATTTCTCAGCGGGCAGCACGGAGACGCATACCGATTTCGTAGGTGGTGTAGAGCCCCTTCACCGCACCATGAATACCTTCACGAAACACTTCGAAGTCCTGCTGACCTACCATCGACTGCTGGAACTCGGGAGGAAAAATCTGTCGAGCAAATTCGACCGACACACTTGAATCTCGAACAATCGAGTCCGCATCTGTCATGGGTCTATTCCCTACAAAGACTATGAAGCTCAATGGGCGTGGGTTCGCACTGGGCTCCCTTCCAGAACGAGGTTGCGGGGATTTTCCCTGTGGATCCTCGTCCCCCCTAGGCGACCTACTTCGACGACGAGGAGATCCACGTCTCTCCCGATCCCTCGAAGTCCTGCCTCCCACCCACGATGGTTTGCTACTTCGTTTATGTTTCCTCCCAGCTCCGCTAGCGTCCTCGCTTCCCCTTTACTATTAGAAAAGAGTCTATTCGACATTCGCGCTTGTTTATTCTTCATCAAAGACCTGAACTGAGTTGTTCACTGAGCACGTAAATAGGACCTTTATTCATTTATTCCCTACGAGGGCAGCGCCATCGAGGCAATCTCATTAATATTGAAACCTCAACAGCCCAGCGTCGACCCAGTCGTGCCCCCATTACACACTGTGATTCGGTGTTCAATGTTCACGAACCAGCTGGGGCAAGGAAAGATTCATCAATCTATCCGGCTTGAGTGCTGCAGCCGCTTCATGAATTGACTAATCAATATTGTATTATTCGACATTTAACGTTCGCAAACCAGCTGGGGCAAGGGCAAATTCATCAATCTATTCGGCTTGAGTGCCGCAGCCGCTCCACGAATCAACTAATCAATATTGTATTATTCGACATTTAACGTTCGTGAACCAGCTGGGGCAAGGGCAGATTCATCAATCTATTCGGCTTGAGTGCCGCAGCCGCTTCACGAATCGACTAATCAATATTGTATGATTCGGCGTTTAACGTTCGTGAACCAGCTGGGGCAAGGGCAGATTCATCAATCTATCCAACTTGAGTGCCGCAGCCGCTTCACGAATCGACTAATCAATATTGTATGATTCGACGTTTAACGTTCGCGAACCAGCTGGGGCAAGGGCAGATTCATCAATCTATCCGGCTTGAGTGCCGCAGCCGCTTCACGAATCGACTAATCAATACTATATGATTCGACGTTTAATGTTCGCGAACCAGCTGGGGTAAGGGTAGCTTCATCAATCTATCCGGCTCGAGTGCCGCAGCCGCTTCACAAATCGATTTACTAGTCCTATTCGGCACCAAGAGTCCGTTTACTTGTTCGGAGAAATTAAAGTTTAACTAATATAATTGCCAAGATTACATTGATTGCAATCGTTGGTTAAAAGGCACAACAGACAGTAATCATTTTATCCAAAGTAGTGGAAGGCAAAACTCTTCATTAATATCAGAAACTTCGTACAAATAATAGTGAAATGGGAAGGAAATTTTTATTAATAAATTGAGCACAGATAGTAACTAATTTATACGTGAAAATTACCTTGAACTAATAAGGATCCAGTAAACAAAAACGCACATCAAAATTAAAGATGCCTAATAAAACTAGAATGTCTCCCAAATCAGTCCTTGGGATCAGACTCACGTGGCTCAACGTCCACTTGCTCTCGGCACTGGAAAGGTAGATCTCGCTAAAGCACTCTAGGACTGCTGAGGGTTAGAACCCCTCTGCCTCCTACCAGCCCCCTGACCATCCTGATTCCTCTTGGAGCCCCTCTGTCTCTCATTCTCCTCCTGCATCATAGTCTCCATATGGGTCGCGGCATCCACAAGACGCCCATACTCCCGGATCATAGACCCCCAACTCTCATCTTGAGGCCATGCCTCAACTTCCTCTCGAACTCGATACAACGGCGTTCCTCAGACGCCACAAGCTCAGGTGCGAACCTAGATAAGCTAGTAAATGCTGTCTCAAACTCGACCACTGATAAACTCAGCTGCTTGAGCTAACAAGACTGGTCCCTCAGCTTCTCCCTGACAGTTGGGGCTAAGACCTTCTCCTGGAAAGCATCTACAAAGGCCTCCCATGTGCCACCAATACGACCCCTCATGAACTTCCACCACTGACCCGCATCTCCTTTAACCTGGAAAGATGCCAAGGTCACCTTCAATGCCCCGTCTTCGACGCCAATCATCTCAAATGTCTTAGTCATCTGTTCCAACCACTCATCAGCCTTAAGTGGCTCTTTCAGATCACCAACAAACTCATTTGGGTTTGATTGGAAGAACTCCCTCTTTAGAAAAGAAGGCCCTGCATCAACAACCTAAGCCTGAACTGGATTCTCAGCTCTGAGAATGCCCATGGATTCCCTCAAAGCTCCTGCTATCTCGCGGGCTAAGGCACCCGTGGCCTGTTGCCCTACTATCATTTTTGGATAATGATAGTCCTGAGGTGTTACTAGAGTCCCTGTTAGAAATAGCATTGATCAAGTGCTTTTCCAATAAGACTCACAGAAACCCAAGGATCCAATCAACATCCTAGAAACTAAATCCCATACCCAAATAGTCACATAAGCATGTTGTCAAATAAACACATAATGTCATACATAAGTCTCTAACAAGCGAGACAAACCCATTGTGATACTAATCACTTCCCACATACCCAAAGTATTCTAACCCGATACGCTCTGATACCAAGTTGTAACGCCCTCAAAATAAACCCATCATAACGTATATTCACAATAAATAGAAGAGACTTCATATTACAATCATCAGAGTATTCTTACACAAGGTATTACATGTTGACAACAAAAGTAAATGTCCTATAGGCTTACAACTTTCTAAGTCAACACTTGGTTACAAAAGGAGAGTACTAACTCTACACAAAATAAGCCCTTGGCTTGATATACATATAATACAACAAAAACAACAAAAAGGAGTCTGACAGCCTCAAGCCTCCCAAGCTACGTCCTTGGAGGTTGCATAACACCTGTACCTGAAAATGATGTCCATATAGGGCGAGCTAATGCCCAGTAGAGATATGCTAAACATAATATAGGCAATAACTAAAACATTAGCATTTGATAAATGTTTAACTCAAATAAGCCAACATACAGTACTATCCAGTTCCATAATCCTTTACTTAACAAAATCTCATCTTGTAAACACGGCTCAGAACCTGGCCAAACAATTTAAATGAGACTACATCTCATGCCAACAATACTACAAACTGCCATTTTACGGAAATTGCGTCCACGGAATTCAGCACCCATGTGTAATTATTTTCTTATGGCCATTTTACGGAAATTTCATCTGTGGGATTCGGCACCCATGTATAGATATTTTTGGACTGCCATTTTACGAAAATTTCATCCGCGGGATTCGGCACCCATGTATAGATATTTTTGGATTGTCATTTTACAAAAATTTCATCAGCGGGATTCGGCACCCATGTATTCAAATACTCATCATATACAATGACAACCAATACACAAATTCGTTGTATTATTCCAACCATCATACTCAATGACACACTCAAATTGATTAGTTTTAATTCACCTAATCATCATTCAGTGTCTACAACAATCAAGACTATCCTCCACCGATAGCCCAAAGCTGCTATTTCTAAACAGATAATAAATGCACCAACAGATAAATTATCAATAATTTCTCAAGGTGAGTGATTATTAAATCCAACTCCACCATTCTACTACATAATGAGTCAATTTCATTATTCGCAACTCAATTTCATATTTCCATAACATTCCCAAATTAATTATATAAATTAATTCATATCATCAAATTAGGGCTTTTCTCCCTCTTTCTTAATATTGACCCAAAGGCCCAAAATATCTTCAATAACATCAATACCCTCATTTTATGACCCAAAATACACAAGTGTAGGCCAAAATAACAAAACCCCTCTTTCTCATTTTGAAAACCCTAACACCCAAAATTACCCAATATCAACATTAAATCAAAATGACCAATCGTTTATGACAAAGACCATAAAAATGAGTAGTTATCCCTACCTCAAATTTCGGAGCTCAACGGAGAAGATGATGAAAACTAAAAGTGCTCCAAATCCCAAGATTTTCGGATAGAAATGTAGCCCAAACTAAGCTCTACACTTTTTACAAAGACACCAAGGTAGGAGATCACTCAAACTAGATCAAACCCTAGTGAGAAGTTGTGTTTTATATTTTTGGATTGCCATTTTACGAAAATTTCATCCGCGGGATTCGGCACCCATGTATTCAAATACTCATCATATACAATGACAACCAATACACAAATTCGTTCTATTATTCCAACCATCATACTCAATGACACACTCAAATTGATTAGTTTTAATTCACCTAATCATCATGCAGCGTCTACAACAATCAATACTATCCTCCACCGATAGCCCAAAGCTGCTATTTCTAAACAGATAATAAATGCACCAACAGATAAATTATCAATAATTTCTCAAGGTGAGTGATTATTAAATCCAACTCCACCATTCTACTACATAATGAGTCAATTTCATTATTCGCAACTCAATTTCATATTTCCATGACATTCCCAAATTAATTATATAAATTAATTCATATCATCAAATTAGGGCTTTTCTCCCTCTTTCTCAATATTGACCCAAAGGCCCAAAATATCTTCAATAACATCAATACCCTCATTTTATGACCCAAAATACACAAGTGTAGGCCAAAATAACAAAACCCCTCTTTCTCATTTTGAAAACCCTAACACCCAAAATTACCCAATATCAACATTAAATCAAAATGACCAATCGTTTATGACAAAGACCATAAAATTGAGTAGTTATCCTTACCTCAAATTTCAGAGCTCAATGGAGAAGATGATGAAAACTAAAAGTGCTCCAAATCCCAAGATTTTGGGATAGAAGCCCAAACTAAGCTCTACACTTTTTACAAAGACACCAAGGTAGGAGATCACTCAAACTAGATCAAACCCTAGTGAGAAGTTGTGTTTTAGAGAGAGAGGCTCTCCAATGGAGTTTTTGAAAAGTCAGAGAGAGAAAAGGAGTTAAAAAAGTGATCCAAAAAGTCGAACTTCGGACTGATATGCAAGTCGTCCCACTCGAGCGTGGAACTCCCCGCTCGAGCATTAGACACAGACTCACGCTCTAGAGTCAAAAGCGCCGCTCGAGTGCCGGATGCACACTTCTAGAAGTTTTGTAAACCATGGTCCCTGCTCGAGCGTTAGACTCCCTGATCGAGCGGAGGAACAAAATCAAAGGGCCCGGCGTCAAAACCCCCGCTCGAGCATACGACGACCTGCAGAGCAAAAATGTTGAGAGATAAAAAACTATGCTCGAGCGTCAAAACTCCCGCTCGAGTGAAAAAGAAAAAATGAAGGGCCCGCTCGAGTGTCAAAAGCCTCGCTCGAGCATGAAGGCCAAAATCTGGGTATCAACTCTAGGTTTCTAAACACAACCAACCTGTTTCAAACCTACCCAACACAACCTAAGACTCAAATACAAAGAGTAAAGGATGTAAATGAGAATAAGACATCAACATAACCACGGAACCAAGTCCGGAATGCAATAATGAAAGGAAAGGAAAACCGGGACCGCTATAGAGATCTTGGTGATGCACTTTTTTCTACTTTGATTGATGAAATCCGTGACATATCAATCAAGGAACAAATGGTAGTTGTAATACGATATGTTGACAAAAAAGGCCAAGTGATTGAGCGATTTTTGGGTATTGAGCATGTTGCTAATACGAATGCTCTCTCACTCAAACAAGCTGTGGCAAATTTATTCTCCAAACATGGTTTAAGTATTTCTAGATTGTGGGGTCAAGGATATGATGGGGCTAGTAATATGCAAGGTGAGTTCAATGGTCTTAAAACACTTATACTGAAAGAGAATCCTTGTGCATATTATGTTCATTGTTTTTCTCATCAATTGCAATTGGCACTTGTAGCCGTGGCAAAGAATCATGATCAAATTGCTTTAGTTTTCACTTTGGTTTCTAATGTAGTGAATGTTGTTGGAGCATCATGTAAACGCCGAGATATTGTTAGGGAGAAGCAAGCTGCAAAAGTTACTGAGGCACTTAATACTGGAGAGCTATCTAGGGGGCAAGGCATAAATTAAGAAATTAATCTTAAACGTGCTGGTGATACACCTTGTGTTCACACTATGGTACTTTAGTCAGCTTGGCTGGTATGTTTTCAACAGTGATTGACGTGCTTGAAATGATTTTGAAGAATGGTTCAAATTCAGAACAATGAGCAGAAGCAAATGTATTGTTGGACTCAATTCAATCATTTGAGATTGAATTCAACCTTCATTTGATGAAAACGATATTGGCTATTATATGTAAGTTATCGCAAGCACTATAAAAAAAAAAAAAGATTAAGATATTGTTAATGACATGAATTTAGTTCAAATTTCTACAGTACGGCTCCAAAAGATAAGGGAGAGTTGGTGGACATCTTTACTTGATGATATTTTGTCTTTTTATGAAAAGCATGAAATTGATGTTCCCCAAATGGATGATGTGTTTGTAGCTCGAGGGAGAAAAAGGCGCAATGCTCAAGAAATTATAAACTTACATCACTATCATGTTGAGTTATTCTGCACTGTTTTGGATATGCAAATTCAAGAACTAAATGCTCGTTTCACTGAGTCAAACACTGAGTTCTTACTTTGTGTGGCATGTTTGAATCCATCTAACTCTTTCTCTAGTTTTGACAAGAAAAAGTTAATTCATCTTGCCGAATTTTATCCCAAAGAATTTTCTTTAGTGGAACTCATAGTACTTAGTGATCAACGTGATACATATATTATCGACATGCTATCCAGCAGTGAGTTATCAAGGTTGAATGGAATTGCCAATCTTGCTAAGAAAATGGTGGAGACTGGAAGCGACAAAATATATCCATTGGTGTATTTGCTCTTGACTTTACCATTAATCTTGCCTGTTGCAACTTTTACTGTTGAGAGGATATTTTCAGCTATGAATATTGTGAAGAATTGGTTACAGAACCGAATGGGTGATGAATGGATAAATGATAGCTTGGTTGTCTACATTAAGAGAGAGATTTTTTGATGGCATTGACAATGATACTGTCATGGAAAGATTTCAAAAGATGAAAACTCGTCAGGGTCAATTGTAAAAGTTTAAATTATTATTATGCTATTGTTATTATGATACTACACTGAGAGAGATTTTTTAATGAATATTAATGTTTAATGTTTAATATTAGCTCAAAGAAATATTATTATGTTATTGTTATTGATGAGGGAAGAAAAATTTTGAGATTATAGTTAATAGATGCCCCCCCCCCCTAATATTAAATTCCTAGCTCCGCCACTGAGTAGTGCTGCATGGGTTTTTACTTGTAGGAATGCTAAGAGTAGGAATATGATTTTAAATTACTTTGGATTACTATTTTGTTAGTGGATTATATTAGTGGACTTGGTGAACAATTTTATATGATAAGGATTGTTTATTATTTATAGATTTTGACATTATGATAATTAAAGATTTATTTTGAGTATTTTATTTTGGTGGTTTATTTGATTGCACTCTTAGCCTTGCATGCTCAGTTAGATGGGTGTGCGACATTGCCATGGGACTTGTGGTGTGACAGAAAGAACTTGTAGGACCTATTGGTGTTAGGGGTCATCAATGGGACGACCAAGCTTACTCGACCCATAACAATTGTATCCACATCCCATATATATTAATAGATTGTTTAGGCTTTGACCAGTTAATGGGCTGGTACGGGCCGGACTTATTTAAAAAAAATTAAAATCATGTCCCACCCCATAACTATTGTATCCACATCCCATATATATTAATAGATTGTTTAGGTTTTGACCAGTTAATGGGCTGGTATGGGCCGGACTTATTTAAAAAAATTAAAATCATGTCCCACCCCCACATTTATTTTTTCTTTTTTAATAATTCATGTGATCAAATTAATTAATACTATTAAAACAATCAAATTAAAGTATAAATTTACCAAATCATATATATATATATATTATTAAAAGTAGTGTTTTTCATATGCTTAGGTAGCACATTATAAGGACTTACTTTTTTTAAGAGAGCTGTGTCAACATATATTTTCTTAATTACATATAGAATTCTACACAAACCAAACCTAATTTAAATTAGGGGGATTTACGTGTAGGTCCTAATAAGTGAACTTATTATCCAATACGTCATTTGATAATTAATGTCACTTTTCATTAAACGCTATTAAAAAACATCACTAATTGTTAATTTTCAACAACAGTTTGAAAATTTTGTCACAAAAATTGTTACTAATTATAAGTTTTAGTGACAATTTAAAAAAAAATCATCATAAAAAAGTCACTAATTTACAACTTTTAGTGATATGCTTGAAAAATTCGTCACAGAAAAACAACACTAATTGTAAGTTTTAGTGACAATTTATAAAAATCGTGAAAAAAAAGTCATTAATTGTTAATTCTTAACGACATATGTAAAAAATCGTCATCAAAAAATTATTTTTAGCGATGATTTTACTAGGACTTATTTTTAACAGGACTTGATGTGAATTAAGTCCAACTATTATGAACTATTGTTAGTTTCCCTTTAAATTTAAATTATACTAACTTTACCTATTTTATATGGACTTTATTTGACAAATATTTTTCATATATTTTTCGTGGTTAATTGAGATAATCTACAAATCCAATACTAATTTTGCGTTTCACGTTTTTCTTCTTAATTGTTTTCAAAGGTATTACGATTTTTTTTAATGTTAAATTGCCTTTTTATTTTTTCTTCTTATTTTCCCTTGCATTGTTCTATACTCAATACCAAATCTATATTATTCTATATTATAGATTTGTCTTTTAAATTTTATAGTAATTCCATATATGAAATTATACTTTATTTCCTACATTATTTTATATAATCACAACTCACAGGAGGAAAAACCTGCACAACCATGATACTCTCGAAAAACCTTTAAAGTTCGGATTTACTACTTGAGTTACTTTTTCAATTGTTAAATAGTAAATTCTTTTATATTTTGATATAATATTACAAATGATTAATCACTTCACATATTGATATGTATTTATCGTTTGGACAGGATGGCCACTAATAGTGTATAGCCAACCACAAATGTGTACGGTCGGCCACTAATGGCAAATTTGGGGTAGTTTTATCCTTTTGCCTCAGGTCTTCATTAAATACACACCCAAGCTTCATTTCTTCACACACCCAAGTTCGAAATCACCCTCTCTCTCTCTCTCTCTCTAGGTGCTTTCTCTCATTAGATTTGTGCTTTGTACGCGTTTTCCAATGCCCTATGCAAACTTTATTGGTAAAACCTCTTTGGCCCTCTACACTTTGAACTGATCAGATTTTGTTTTCGTTGATTTTTCAGGGTTTTCAACACTTTTGAGTTTTTCTTGAGTTTTTCTTGGGTTTTGTGAACTTTTTTTGGGTTTTGACTTTTTCTCCCATTTTCTCTCTCCTAGGGTTGACTTTTTCCAAATTTTCCCTCATTTTCCTCATTTTCTCATTTTTTCCCAGTTTTCACCCACTTTCCAGATGGCAAATGACATTCCTTACGACGGTGCTCCTCCTATTATTTTTTCTTTTTGAATTTAGATGTTGTTATGTAATTCTCCATTGGTTAGTCGTCATTGAATTTCTTTCATATAGTTGATATTTTAATATAATTAAGAGTATTTATTTTACAATCTTATAATTTAATATATATATATATATATATATCATATAAAATCATTATATGATAATCCAACTATAACATATTTATATTTAATTTTTTAAATAAATTTTATATAATTTCTATTTTACATATTTTTATTTTCTAAATGAATATAAAAGAAAATTAAATAGTCAGAATTACTTTTAATTTTATGTTACTAATTCTTCTTCTAATTTAACTATTATTTTTAATATCAAAAGGGTAAAGTACCAATAAATCTCAAAATGTGATCATGTAAACGGTTGAGTCCTCTCGTTTTTTTCTTATGAACTCAAAGGTCCCATTAAAGTGAAAATTATACAAAAGGATACTCACTTACATATTTTGGTTTAATTTTTTAGGGATAAAAGTGAGTTTCTCCAAATGTGAAATTATACATTTGGGTAATCCGCCCTGTAGAGGTTTTGGATTTTCCCTCATATGGAAACAAATCCCATATTATGAATAAAAACGTAACACTCCAATAATATAACGCTCCAATGTAACACACTAAAAAATTTCCTAATGTACTTTTCCCAAATGTAACAACGTAATACTCTAAAAAAGTCCTTATTGTACTTTTTTCAAATGTAATACTCCAATATAACTTATAAAAAAACTTCTTAGTGTATTTTTTCCAAATGTAACACTCCAATCAATCTAATTTCAAACATAACACTCAAATGTAACACACACACAAAAACACTAAAAAAAACTTTTAGTGTATTTTTTCCAAACGTAACAATGTAACACTCCAATGTAACACACACAAAAAAATTCTTAGTGTATTTTTCCCACATTTAACACTCCAATCAATGTAATTCAAAACGTAACACTCCAATATAACACACACAAAAAAACTAAAAAGTTCATTAGTATACTTTTCTTAAATGTAATAACGTAACACTCCAAAAAAAAAAAAAAAAACACCTTAATGTAATTTTTCTAAATGTAACACTCCAATCAATGTAATTCTAAACGTAACACTCCAATATAATACACTCCAATATAACACACAAAAACATCAAAAAACTCCTTAGTGTACTTTTCTCAGACGTAATACTTACAATTTGAAATTATACATTTACCAAAAGCTTACTAAGGAATTTTTGTACTCTTTTTGGTATGGTTTAAAAAATCCCACATCTTTTGTTATGGTTTGAAGAATCCCACATTCTGTTTTTGGAGTATTACATTAGAGTGTTATGTTTGGGATTAGTACACTATCATCCCAAATTTGATTCCCATAGATTGTGTATCTTACCTTTCTAGCAAAAAAAAAAAAAAAAAAAAAAAAAAAAAAAAAAAAGAAGAAGCAGAAGAAGAAGAAAGAAACATAATAGAAATAAGGGTATAATCGTAAATTCAATTTTTAAATAATATATTAAATATACCTTTCCAAAATCAATGGGACTACTTGGTCTATAAGAAAATTCTTAGGACTAAATGGATTACCATTTCTCAAGATAGGATTTATAGGTAAACTTTTCATATCAAGATGAGTATTTATTTTTTTATTTTATTATTCAATATATATCATACAAAATTATTATATGATAATTACACTTTTATAATACGATAGAACTAAAATTATCAAAATATACAAATAATTTAACTAAAAATAATATATATAAGTATTTAAGTAACAATTTTATAAAACGATAGCGCCAATATTATCAAAATAAATAATTAAAATCATACTTTAATTTTAATTTTAAATTAAAATTAAAATTATTTTTGTATAACACACATTGTACCATCAAATATATATATATATATTAAAATAACCCGTGCATTGCACGAGTCAACTACTAACTAACAAATTATGACAATGATAATGCTGTGTAAAAAATTTAGAGTACAGAAAGATATCACTAGGGGTGATAAACGAACCAAACTTGAACACATTTTGGAGCTTTTTAATGTTTTCAAACCAAGGTTGATCTGTCAATTGCTTATTCCTTTAGCTCAGTTTGATAAACCTAAAACTATATAAAAATTTCAAGCTACTCGAGTTCGGCTCGACAAAAGCTTGTGTGAGATCGGCTTGAATGTATAATGAATTAAGTTTGAACAAATTTTGAAACTCGTTAAACTTATCAAACCTTGTTTGAACAATTAATTGTTCGGCTTGTTTGGCTCGTTTATCACCGCTAGATATCATTAGTCACTATCAAATTCAATTTTAACAAATTGTTTTGTGTATTTTTTAAAATATAATTTACAAGCATAATATAGACAGTGACTTTTTTTATTTTTTTTTTAATTTTTAAATGGAACAGTATTGATTTTAATGAATTAAAATTGAATTTAACAGATTTATTTTTCTAGATTTATCCATGTGGGCTTGTAC